TGGGCAAGCTGCAGTGCTGTGACATAACCACACTGCCACCTAAAGCCAGAGCTGTGTAAATAATATATAAAGATAGAAATAATTATAAAAAAAACAGTTTATAAACTCAGAAATGCATTACTGGTTATATATATATATAAAAGGGTTCTAAAAGGGTTCAGTTTATTTTCTTAATGAGTTATAGGTGTGTTTTGAGAATAAACCAATCAGAGTCTCGCCATGGCACATTTGCTATACATGACGTGAAGTGTGTTCAAAAACCTGAGTTATATCCTAAAACACATGCTGTGCCCCATATGGTCTAAAACCTGACAGGTGAGCAAGTCTTAGCTTGTTTTTATAAAAAGAAATATCAATATGGATATAATAAATAATAATGCTAATAATAATAACATTATACAATAGCAAATTGAATGAACTGAAAAAGCCTCCCGAGATGAAGAAGACTTAAAAGCAGTGGATTTTCATATTTATGTAGGCTAGAAAATAATATGTTTTGTAAAATTTTAATCCTTTATATTTATAACCTATATATATATTCTTATTATATGCTATATATATATATATATATACTTAATATTTTAATTCTTTTTTATATGTAAAGACATTTTCTTATTGCTCTACATCTTGTGTGTATTAAGCAGTGTGTAAGCGAGGCGCAACTCTGCGCTGGACTTTTCTTTTTAGACCAGAACGCCTATGGCGCACATATGAGCGCAAATGCATTTGCTATTTAAACAGCGCTGAGCAAAACCTCCAAACAACTCTTGCACCAAGCTGAAACTAACAAACAGCTATTGCGTCGCACCTTGCAGCACATTGCGCCAGGTGTATGATAGGGCCCCTAAAGTTTAAAAGATGCTTGTTTCAGCTGTTTAACTGTCAGCTTAGTTTTAAATCCAACCCGAAAGAAAGTAGTTCCTCATACAAAAAGATTTTTGAGACTCTGCATGTTTGATTTTTATTTTTATATACACAATTATGCCGTCAAACTGTTGTTATAAACAAAAGTCTTGTCGCCTATCCATGTATCCAGCAAATAAAACATTGACTTCTGGTTGAGTATTTGGTATTAGAAGTGACTTATATGAAAGTCAAAGGTTCTCTAGATTATGCTAATTTTACCAAAATAAAATGTGATCATGCTTTGACGTTTAAATTAAAATTTAAAATTGTAATTTAATTAGGACATAAGGTCTGACTTTGCTTAGACAAAAGTCTTGTCACTTAACAGAAATAATATACAGCAGTGGTGCACAACTTTGTTCCTGGGGATCTACCATCCTGCATTGTATAGCTCCCTGACCAAACACACCTGAACCATTTAGTTAGGACCTAAACAGCACTTAATAATTACAGGCAAGTGTGTTTGATTTAGGTTGCAACTGAAATCTGCAGGAAGGTAGATCTCTAGGAACAGGGTTGAGCACCCCTGATGTAATATAAAGTCATGGTGCAGTGGCAAAAGATTTAATATCGTGCATGACTCCCATGAGCTTAAAGAACTGCATTCATACATCTCTGCAGTGACTCAGATAACTTATTGATAAAGTCATCTGGAATGGCAAAGATAGTGTTCTTACAGGACTCATCTTCAATGCCTCCACCTTCATCTTACCCAAGACATGATCAATAATGTCATATATATATATATATATATATATATATATATATATATATATATATATATATATATATATAGTAATTTTCTAATTGAAAAATAAACACTTTCCTTAAAAGGCATTTTGAATCATATGAAACATTTAAAAACCAATGAAAACACATTATCTTTAAGCCAATCTGAAAATTTACAAATACATTAATACATTTTTAACAGTAAAACGTTTTTTAAAAGATTCATAATTTATATAAATATTAAGTTCACATGCATTGTTGCCTGTTCTATTGTTTGTATTAGGCAGAGCATTTTTTCAAAATTATGTCCTGGGAGGATGAGGTTGTCTTTGTAATATGAAGAAAATTGTTTAAAAAAACAGCAAGTTTTCTTTAAATAAAAGTAAAGAACGATATGAAAATTATATGATTTAATAATGCAATGAGATTGCAATGGTCATACTCCTGTGTCAGTATAAAGTCCTTCCCAATAAGTCTGTTCACTTTTTTTTTCGAAGATGCTTTTGTATACTTATGAATTGATTCTGCTGATGCTCAATGCTCAGTCATCAATAAATATGCATTAGCCTCTCAAGAGATGGTCATGCAGGCCACAGCATCATTACCGTACTTCCAGCTTGTTTTACAGATAAGGTTGAATGTTTTGAATAATTTTTAGTTTTTTTTTCTTCATGCTTTTGCTTTATTCACTTTTTCTTTCCCATCAAATTAACAAGGAATATATGTGTCACATATGTTTATAAAACAATACACTTCAAGCTATTATTTGTGCATTCCTCCAAACTCGATCGAACCATTTTTTTTATTTCTGGTGCTCATCAGAGGTTTGGGTTTTGATGTTTCCTCCACAATTCCGCTGTTTAAATCAGAGCATTGTCTTTCTTCAACAGAACATTCCAAGCTTTTAATTTGACTGTTTGTTATGTACTTCATTTGTGCTATATGCCCTGATAAATTTATATTTCCTTTCAGCATTTTTAGATCCTACATCTTCATCCAAAATACTGTATAATTCAAAAAATTTCAGCAGTTGATCAGCTGCAAAACTTCTCAACTTCTCAGTAGGCTATAGATTCAATTATTATGTATTTACTATTTTGTCCAGTGGATTCTTTAAACATTGATACATTTAACAATTAAAATTGTGTACCAACATCCCTTTGAAGATTCAATATTTGCACTATTGGATACATAAAATATCAAGTGGCTGATAAAGTTCAGATTTGGTTTTCAGTGTAGAGACAATGACCCCTAGTGGTTGCTACAGAAGTGCTACGTAGAGCCAACTCAAAGGGATAGTTCGCCCAAAAATGAAAATTCTGCCATTTACTTGCATTTGTTTCAAACCTTTATGAGTTTCTTTGTTCTGTTAAACACAAAAGAAGATAGTTTAAAGAATGCTTGAAACCTTTAACTATTGACTTCCATAGTATTTGTTTTTGCTACGATGGAAGTCAATGAATACAGGTTTTCTTCAAAATATCTTATTTTGCATTCAACACAATTAAGGAAGAAATTCATAAAGGTTTGGAACCATTTTGAGGGTGACTAAACAGTGAGTAAATATAAATTTTTGTCTGAGCTATCCCATACTGTTCTTACATGTTTATGTTTGTGTAAAGAATGCATGTTAAAAATCAAGAAGCTTGTCATGTCAAACCCTGTGGAGGCTTGATGTCGGTAAAATGAGCGGACGAGCAAAGTACAGTTTGAGATAATAAGGTATACATGTTTTTCAGGCTATAATTAAATAATTAAAAAAATATATATTTAAGTTCTTAAATATATAACATTTTCCTTTCACTGTTGCATGCCTTATAATTATGAAATTAATATGCTTTTGTGTCAAAAAGAAATGTCTATCACTTTTCATTACATTACATATCAGTTATGTTGAATCCAGTTCTTTCATGTAAAACTAAAAAACTTTAACTCTCTTTAACCTTTGCTCAGTATTGACTACAGTTTAAATAACACACAGTAAACAGACTCTATATTGGACACAGTATTACCGAACAAAAGTCTTGTTGTCGATCCCAGTTGTAAGAGCAACAAATAATAACTTGACTTTTAGTTGATCATTTGGAAAAGTGGCAGAAGATAGATTTTTCTGATGAATCATCTCTTGAACTGCATACAAATCATCATACATTCTGCAGAAGACCTTTTGAAACCTGTATGGACCTAAGATTCTGACAAAAAATCAGTCAAGTTTAGTGAAGAAAAAATCATGTTTTTTTTTTTCATCTTACATTACAAACCACAGGAGAGGGCAAACTCGTCAGCAGGACAGCACTCCTTCTCATGCTTCAGCTTTCACATCAAAGTTCCTAAAAGCACAGAAGGTCCAGGTGCTCTTCTGTTAAGTGACAAGACTTTTGTCTAAGCAAAGTCAGACCTTACTGTCCAAATTAAATTACAATTTTAAATTTTAATTTAAACGTCAAAGCATGATCACATTTTATTTTGGTAAAATTGGCACAATCTGGAGACCTTTGACTTTCATATAAGCCACTTTTGATACCAAATGATCAACTTGAAGTCAATGTTTTATTTGCTAGATACTTGGATAGGTGACAAGACTTTTGTCAGATAGTGTATATTAGTGCTGTCAATTGATTAATTTGATTAATCGCTTCCAGAATTTTGTACTTAAATAATATGCGTGTACAATATGTGTATATAATATATTATATTATTATATTATTAATATTATTACTATTTTTGTTATTATTATTCATTAATTTTTTCTTTTTTTTTTCAGCTAAGTTCCTTTAATAATCCGGGGTCGCCACAGCGCAATAATCACCAACTTATCCAGCATGTTTTTATGCAGCGGATGCCCTTCCAGCTGCAACCCATCTCTGGAAAACATCCATACACACTCATCCACACTTATATACTACGGACAGTTTAGCTTACCCAATTCACCTGTACCGCATGTCTTTGGACTGTGAAGGAAACTGGAGCACCAGGAGGAAACCCACGCGAATGCAGAGAGAACATACAAGTTTCCTAGAGAAACACAAACTGACCCAGCCAAGGATCAAACCAGCGACCTTCTTGCAGTTTTGTCATTATTAATATTTTTGTTATTATTATTGTTATTATTAATTGTAATTACTTAAAAACTACCTTAACAACTATTAATAAGCAGCAAATTATGAGTTTATTGAGCTAAAAGTCATAAAGTTAATTTGCTATAATAACAAGAGAATTGTACCTTAAAATAAAGTGTAATCGAAATAATCATGTTGACTGGATTTAAATCCTTCATTTTTTTTTTCATTGTTAAAGTATATTTTTGCAGACCTAATGTAATGTGGCTGAACTAGCCCAAGCAAGAGTATAGTTCAATTTAAACATTTTGCTCTTCCAACATTTTAATTATTGTACAGAACAAGATAGAACTTTTAATTTGGAAAACAAGGTTATTATCATAGGTTATATTCAATTAATTTTAGTGAAGATGTATCAGTTTCCTGAAACAGTTTCTGTTAAAAAGAGGGCATTGTGGCTGTGCAGTTCCTGTCTTCATAGCACTGGCAGGTGAATTTGCTTTTCCAGTCAGCGAGATCACTTGCAGAAGGGGTCCCTGTGACTACATATTTCCCAGCGTTCCTACCGATGTGATGGCTTTCTGAACTAATGTGGAGGAAATCATCTGAGTTGTTGTTTTTTCGAACACATCGCCCCTCGCCTTGACAGAGATTTTTGCTGCATAAATGTGCTGCAGTGGTGACATTGAGGATGTAGGGGTTTAATTTATCAGACAGGTATGCAGACAATGCTTCGCATGAGGTCTGAAAGAAATAAAACGCATTAAAAAGTTAAAAGAAATATTGCACAACTTGAAGGTACAGCATATTCAAACTCATACTGTTTCAAATCGCATGTTCTTTCTACCATTGACACATTTTTGTTTCTTTTAAGCTCTAGAAAAAATAACTGTATTTGGATCTGGTCTCATTTGGATATGTGTAGAAAAAGACTAAAACTGCAATTTACTAATAATATTTCAATAAGTTGCTCTCTGAGTATGAAATATGAATATAAAAGCCATCCGAGGGTCTAAACTATGCAGCTATGAATAAATTACACTTTCTGGGACCTATTAAGCACTTATAATTCATAAGCATACAGTAGAGATTAAAACCTTTTCAAATTTAGAATATTAAAATAAATAATGTTTTTTTTTCCTTATTTTCCATGTTTCAAAAAGTCTTACCTCCGCCAAATTTGGTTCTATTTTAACAAATCATACATCATGTTTTCATTTTGTGATTATTTTGATTATGTAAGAGCATAATTGAGCTTAAAAGCACAAATCACAGGAATTAATATATCTGCACAGCACTGATATTCAATAGAACAGGTGTCACTAAACTTGGTTTAACTCCAGCTTGCCTTAAAACACCTGACTGGAAGTTTGAAGTATACTGTACCTAGTAATACACAGTTTAGCTTGCTTACGTGAATTTGGATTTGGTCTCATGTTTGGATGTGTGTAGACAAAGATTAAAACTGCAATTTACTGAAAATATTTTAAAAGGTTGCTCTCTTTGTTGCATATAAAAAGCCATCTAAAGGTCTAAACTATGCAGTTAAGAGTAAAATACTTGGTTTAGCTCCAGGTTGCCTCAAAACACCTGAACACACATTTTTTACTGAACCATTCCTTTAAGACAAAATTTACCTTGTCATTGTAATCAGCACTAGACCCCCACAGCACAGCTCCAGAAGCCCCCAGAGCTGCACTCTCACCTATACTGCTGACCAAGTCAATCTAGACAGAAACAGATAGAAAATGTTTTCAAGTATGGCCTAAAGCAGTTATGTTCATTTCTGAGGGTCAATATACTGAGGGTGAGTTCAGCTCACCTCAACTGATCAGTATTATCAGGCTTACAACAAAATTTCACAGACTGGTTATTTAATATCAATGTAATTGTTTGATTTCCACTACAATATCATATTTCAAACTTTAGGTTATGTCTAATGTAGCTGTGTGACCATAAACAACATCTCTAAATGTACTACGCTCAATGTTTATTGCAAAGGGAGACATTTGCTGCGTCCTAAACCGCATACTTCCATACTATATGGTACGCTTAAATCAGTATGCGAGCCGAGTAGTATGTCCGAATTCATAGAATTCAAAAATCATTATGCGAGAAGTACCTGGATGACTTACTACTTCCGGCGAGATTCAAGAGTGCGCATCCCATGCACACTGCGCTATCCCATGATGCCCCATGAGCGAATTCATGAATGGGAGTAAAGTGACGCAATTGGTCACGTAGGTAGGTCACGTGACCATGACAAAATGGCGGATGTAGTACGTCCGAATTCCATTCATACTTTTCACATTCATACTGAATAGAACGTACTTTTCTAACGGCCGAGTAGTACGTTTAAATTCTAATGCAGTACCTACTGAGTAGTAGGCGGTTTCGGACGCAGCCATTGACTTTTACAGAGTTAGCTTAGCAAAGCCTACAGTGAACAAATTTTGGGGACTACAAAAAAATACATCCAGGGTAATGAAGTCATAAACCTTTCAGGTAACCCTTTAGGTTTCTCTCATACACGTAAAGGGTAATGCTATAATGGAGAAAGCTAAAATGCAGACCAAACGCTGCTATTTCCACAGAGCTTCATCTGTTTCTGTATTTGAGCTTCCAAAGGACATGACACAAAGAGAGAAGTGCTTACAATTAAATTCTTATTATGTTCCAAAGAATTATAAAAAAGATATAGCTCTAGTATTTGACAAAGGACAGCTTCTAGAATATATCCTAGTTCAGTGCTGGATTCAGCTAAACTCTTCAAAGAAGGTGTAGCTCCAACCATTATAGAAGAAGCTGTGGATTATGTGCCACAACCTGTAAGAATTTTTATTTGTTAAAACTGATATATTGCATGCGTAGTTTCTAGCATTAATAGTATGTTGTTGCAAGGATGTAAACAACGAGAAATGTTGTTTAGCACCATTAAAAGTTAGCTACAAATTCATATTTATCCACAATATAAATTTATACACAATGTTCCTCAGTGCTGCATTGTCTCTATGCAGTTGCTTTCCATCCCATCTACATCTCAAATACATGCACAAACATGCAAAAGATATGTTAACGTTTCATATAACTTACACATGCTTATTTCAACTATATTTAATAAAACACTTTTCAGGTTTATTTTCAAGAGCAGGCATGAAGTTCAGCTGTGTCCTCTGTGTCATTTTCTGTCTTATTCAGGCTCAAATTGATATAATTACACTAGCTATTTAAAGAGCAGAAGCAAAATGTGTGTAAGGGCATGACACTGCCTAGTGACGTGGAGCTGATTAGTGAATCATAGCACATTATGTTAGCTGACCAATCAGAGTGTCGTGAGAGCGGGCCTTCGGAGGAACTACGAAATTTGACAGTCGTTTTCATGTTAGCTGAGTATGAGTAAAAAATTAAAGTAAGATTTATTAAAAAGTTGGCGTGATTTTTACAAATGAAACATGACTACACATGGCGTTGCATCTTATAGATACAACCAATCCTTAAAAATACACTCTGCTACAAATGAAACATGACTACACATTGCGTTGCATCTTATAGATACAACCAATCCTTAAAAATACACTCTGGACCACCCTTTTACAGTAATTAGGTACCACAACCAACCAACCAAGTAAAATATAGCTAAAACAAAAATAGGGTCTGTTGTTCAAACCACATTGGCAATTTTTAGTAGAGCATTAATGTACTTCTTTGTCAAATCCCTCTATGGTGAGCAAGAAATAATCTGAACATGGTACATAAACACTTTGTTTGGGATTTGTATGTGTGCAGACCTATATTCAGTTGGTGGAATGACAATACAGACTACTGCCACCTGCAGGTGTTGAAAGATACATCCCTCCACACAACCACAAAAAAAAAACGCTCCTGTTTCAGTAGTCTATTTGGTATGTTCAGATGCAGCTTTTTGGTCCAGATGGGAACAGACACAGCTTACACAATACAACAACACAGGCTGCATTCCAGTCCAATGTGTTTATACCCTTCACTCGCTGACTTTTCTTCCACCATGACTCGGAAATTCATTATTGGTTACATTACTGTCCACTGCTTGCAGAACATCTAAATAGGTTTAAATAGAATGCTATAAACCATTGAGCACTTGGAAACTACACTCAATACAATGGGTTGAGGGTATGTCTATATCCAAGCTTCCCTCGTTCCCTCGACGACGTGAATTGCATGTCATTTCTAAAAGTGGAGTGAAATGCAGCCACAGTTTATTGTCATCACCACTTGTACTTTGCTGTTGACTTGGTATGTCCTGAGTTTTATAGAACTGTTGAAACAATTCAACTATGTTGAAAAAGACAGAAATTGCAGTCATTGTTGTCTGCAACAGAACTTTTACAAAACATACCTTAGGTGTGTTAAAGCAATTTGGAACTAAACTCTACAACATGTTAGTCCTCAAGACACCCCTGGCTTATACTATACACTTATTTCTGTTGCTGCCTCATAGTTGCCAATACAATGTTGTATCATGTATAACAGCCAGTAGTCTTAATACTGTACCTCATTCATGTAAAGCTTTTTTTGGTTGGTTAAAAGAGGCCGTAAGTAGACATAGACTGGTGCAGTGTGGACATGTTTCGGCAGGGATGCCACTCTCATTGCCTCTTCGACCTGATGACGGACAAACAGTGCAGCACTTTTGCTTCCACTCTTTGAGACTGGTAAATATGCTGATGGGTAAAGAGCAGTGCTAACCTCCCACAGCCAAAGCAGCTCATTGTTCAATTGTTTTGTATACTCTGAACAAGTGCCTGTATAGTTTGACTCATCAAATCCATAGTTATAGCAATCTGGGAACAGATAGTAGCCCCACAGATACCTAGGTCGAAGGTTGATTCCTTTCTTTAGAGTTTCCTCCATGAATCGCCTGGCTTCCTTCTGGAACTGTTGTTTGGCTTCAGTGGCTGCCTGTTGCGGGCTGAGAGAAGAGTTTTGCTCAAGAGTGTAGTTAATGGAAAGTTCCATGTAGATCTTCTTTAAATCGAAATTCCGGTCAAATATCGGAAGCCACTCTTCCCAGTCCATGACTGCCAAACCAGAGGATGAGTCGGGAATGAACTGGAGAAACTCTTCCTTTGCTTTTTCCAAACTAGCAGACAGGTTTCCCCTCTGTGGGATGCCACCATTATATTCTTTCATGGAGTGCAGGTCCACATAGGGAAAGAGCCCAAGTCGAGTTTTGTAGAACAGGCTTAAGGATTGATTGTGTACCCTGGCAGGAGTTGTAACTGCTTGGAAAAGCGATAAATCAAGAGGGACCTTCAGTTGATGGCATTTAGAAATAGGAGCATTCCACAACAGCACAAAAGGCCTATGGAAAAGAGGAGCTACGGTTGATGGAGTATACACCGATGTGTTTACATGCCCAACAAATATGAGGACAATGGTGGAAAATAGTAATTGCTGTTGTCTTTGGTTTGCCATCTGCATACACTGATAGAAAAGAAAAGTCGGTATTAATTATAATATTTTGAAACTAACAACATGTTTGAGCTTTATTAACAATCGTTTGGAACTATAATAGAAATTCAAACACCAAAATATATATAACTTGCAAGAACAACATGACAAAAAGGGTGTCTTTCTAAAAGGTTCTTGTGTGGTGCTGCTAAATGCATTAATCATTTTAAGCTAATTTAAATAGTACAGTAAATTGATTATTTATTTAGCATAAATGCATATTTTTAAATGGAGGTTTAATTTAAAATTGAGAAATAATGAGTGTCTCACCTAATTCTGGTTTCTTCAGTAGCAAGGCGAAAATGTAGCTCGCTCTGATTCCTGTTAAATATTAGCAGGGGTCAATGTTTAAAAACACAGCTTGCTGACATCGACGGCAGAATGACTTGCCAGTGTCATCAGAATATTTTGCAGAAAAATGTAGAGTAATGCTATCTGTCTGTCAGTTGAAGCTTAACAGAAGTTGTAATGTACAGCCACACAATGACCCAAAGAGGATGACTTTACTATTTATTAAGTAACACCCATACTGGGATTTTTTTTACAGATTTATTTTAATAAAGGCAAGAATTTTTTTTAATTCTTGATCTTTGAGTAATGATCAGACACAAAACATAAACACATTTTGACAATAAAAATCAAGACCAGATTACAATCTTTTATTTGCAGTGCATCAACATTCAGGCAACATTTGTCTTCGAGTATTTGGTTAATGGTATTGCTTTAATGAAAAAAAAAAAAAAAAAAAAGTAAAAATCAAGTATTTAATAACACATTGCATAAGACTCATATTGAGATGAAAAAAATAATATTTGAAGACTGTAAATTTTAGAACTGAGGTAAAAAGAAAAATAGACACTTTCCAATAATAAAGGCTGTGATAATAACGGCCAGTACAAACTGCTGTCTACATGCTACAAAATACAGTATTTTAGAAAAATGTTTATACCTGTACTCAAAACAGGTAAGAAAATAAGAGTCCAGTTATCTTTAAACCTGATACTGGACATTTAAAACAGTATGTAGATATCTATTTCAATTTTTAACTATTCGCAGACTCTGCTAATAAAAATTCTTCAAAGTACTGAAAAGTATTGAGGTATATACCTTTTTGTTTTCAGTATCATTCGTTCTGAATTAAAAAGTTACATAAAATAAACAGCACAGTTTAACATACAATCATTATGAGTCACCACAGCTTTCTGTAGTTTAGCAAATGCTAACGTACACGTGTAAACACATACAACCAATTAATTTTTGGTTTAGCATGAATTACAAGAAATTTGGGGATCAAAAAAAATGTACTAAAAAAGTAGATGTTTTGTACTTTCTTTTCTAATAAAACTTAACTAGCTTGAACCCTGGTTGTGTTCACTGAGATTTCTCATCAATAACTTGATGATTACATAGTTTTTCTATTGTGCAAATTTGATTAAAGCTTGCAATGATGAGTGATATAATAGATTGTTTCAAATAATGAAAATTTGTTGTGTTGACATTTGCAGTCAATATAGATTACATAAGAGAGCATATGAGAACACCTGAACATGACTTTATATTCGGCTTTTCTTAAAAAAATTTAAAAAATTGAGGCACATCTTGTTAAATTCAATAGGCTAAATTACTTTGCCCCACTTGCCCAAGTCAAATAATGGTGAATATTTGATTTAATTTTGGCTATAGTTATGTATGTTTTTGACAGATTCAGATATAAAGTATGACATGTGTATATCATATATCATATATTTTGAAAACCCAGCATTCCACAACTTTGAAGTGCTCACTGCTAGATATAATCTTGCTTAAATATGCCATGTTGTTGTCGTCAGTGTTTTGTAAAAACAGTCTACATAGATTGAATCTTTTCTATCAGAAAACAATGACAAATTAAAATAATCAATGAGCATTCAACATTTCATAGAATCTATTCAGACTGAAGTCTGTGCAAACAAAGCTTGCATCTAGCATACAGCACCATTGTAACTATTATAATTTAGCAAAATCACAAATATTAAAACCTGACTGAGTCAAAATGTGCCATCAAGTGACTCTTTGGCCACTTTTACTTAAAGGTGAAGTGTGTACATTTTAAAGATTCACTGTAAAAAAGCTTAACATGGGACCAGAAAATACTTCTATAAATATGTTAGATGCAGGCTGATTTTCCAACTGACTATTCTGCTTGAGAATTTCCATTCCAAAAAAGTACTTAAATATGGGACTTGTCACAGCACCACACAATATATACTATTCTGCTTGTCTGATTTGCTTCTATTATTCTCATTTGTAAGTATTTTTTTATATAAAAACATCTGGTAAATGTACATTTAAAGGTATATGTAAAAAAGTAGTAAATGTATTATGTTTATTAAAATTTTGTATTTCATCTTTATCTATTTTCCAATGATAATTTTGTGAATATTGTATAAAATACATTTAAATGTAATAGCAGCAGTTGTTCGAAGAATTCTTTGGCCAAAGATATCTGCTATGCCCTGCAAAAAAGGTATAAAAAAGTATCTGAAAAACAAATACAGTATAAACATTAACTCTGTAGCTCTTTTTTAAATCTCTGTTGGTTTATGAATCCAAACAACCCCACATTACAACAGTGATATGATGTGAGTCTTGGGTAGGGCTATTTGTTTGTTCAGCCAATGAGAGATAAGGGGAATGTTTTAAAAATGGTTATTGTTCTTATTGCAATTCCACCTGATGATACAAATGGTGCATAAATGACACACTTCACCTCTAAATAAAACCGAAGTTCAACAAGAGGAGTAGAGTGTACAGAATCAAGCCATTTTGTAAAGGCACAGCAGTATCCCTCATGTGTTCGTGGTCCTCCAGTTTCTTTTGATCCTCCCCATCCACATTCTCTTTTATCATGTTATCCTCCTCTGTCTCCTCTGGTTCTATGCTATCACAGCGGTCTCCCTCATAGCCCTGGTAACAGTGGCAGCGGAACCTGTCGGCTAGCAGTTGGAGCTCGTGTTGTGAGTGCCAGCCAGTTACAGTGAATGTGCCATTCCGGTTAGACAGGATCCGATAGCTGCTGCGGCTCAAGTGTAGGTAGTGCGGTGCCTGTGGGTCTCGACGGACACAGCGTCCATTGGACTGACACAGGAAGTCGCTACAGACTTCTGCTGCTCGGGTAACATTAGTGATGTACTGACCCAGTTTGTGGTTCATAAATGCCTTCACTTTGGAACAGTTGTGCTGAGGAATCACAAGAAAACACAAAACTTGTGATATTTAATGAAGTGTGAAATCAAAAGGTATAGCTTATTTAGCTAACAGCATTTTTAATTTAGTTTAGTTTAGTTTAATCCCCTAAAGAAAAAAAAAACATATATATGGACATATATATAGACCTTTTTCTTAGAACGAGAAATTAACCAGATGCGTATAAACAGTCATATTTGGACAGCATTGAATTGATAGTTTTAATCTATTTTATCAGAGTTACGTCTTTGAACTAATACTAGTTTCAATCAGCTCCACCTCCTGGACTGATCATTTTAAAAAATGTGCTATAATGGGATAGAAAACAACTGTTGTGAGGCATTTTCCTCTCGTTGTCAGACGGCATCTTCTGCTGTTTAAATGAAGCCTCGTCATCGCAGTCAACATTTTCTCTTTTTCAAACCTACAACCAGCTCAAACAAATGTAATTCACCTAGATGTTTGACACACACACGTAGCCAGTACTGTCCCACTGACACACTGATTTAATAAGTGTCACAAAGTGAAAATAAGGTGCCATTTTTGAAAAACACATATCATGGTAAATACTACACATTAAAAGAAACATAAACAGCTCCCGATTAGAATCAACATGCAAATCAGCCAGCGGAGTATCACTAACTGACTTTATTTGGTCATTTGTGTAAATTGCATAACTTGCATACCTGTTTAGTTTTATCCAGTAACTTGGTTTGCTCTATAATGCAGTGAAGTATTGCGCGCGGACAGGATGGGAACACACACACAAACACACATACACACTCTATTTCTGACGGCCGACATGTGAATTAGGAGAACGTTTTTCTCTTGCGCTTGAACCACATCTGACAGATTATAGCGGCTTTAACACATCTTTTAAAGTTGTGTGTCACAAAAACACTCCGTAATCCACTCAAACACTTGAAACCCATTTTCGGATCGCAAATTACCTGAAGACGCTGGTCGCTATGGCACCCTCCATGCAGCAGCCAAGAAAAAGGTCTAAATACATTCAGTTCATCACTCTCGTTAAAAGTTATTTTTTTCTGCTATCATAACACTTAAAATTACGGAAACCCAGAAGGGACGTGGTGGTAGGAAAAAAAACAGGTGAAAGAAAAAAACTGGGTGAGAGAAAAAAAAAAGAGTGATAGGAAAATACATTTTTGAGTTCACTCGCAAAAATGTTTTGCATTACATTGCAAAGATGTTTTGCGTTTCCTCGTAAAACTGTTGTTCCACAAACACTTCTTGTTCACTTCATACATGTCAACTGCGCCATTTTTTTCTGGGATTCTACCTTATTTTACCATTCTATCCCACTATCATCCTATCGTTAAGTATGTTGTAATATTTTTATTCTTGAAAACACGCTGAAATTAATATAAAAATCTCTGCATTCACTTTCTTTTCATCGTCACCCTTCCTATGCAACATGCCATTTAAAGAAGAGCTAAAGTGTAGGACACTTAACCAAAATATGGATGAAATATGGAAAAATACCTAAGTTATTGATAGCAGATAGCAGGTTGATAGCAGAAGAGAATGGTAAAATATGAGAAAATACCGGCAAAAAAAGGAGGGTTGACATGAAGTGAACAAGAAGTGTTTGTAGAACAACAGTTTTGTAATGTAATGCAATGCAAAACAACTCTTAAAAATAAACATTTTCCTCTCACAGTTTTTTTTCTCCTAACCAGCTTTTCCCTCACAATCACGTCCCTTCCGGGTCTTCGTATGTAAGGGTCCTGAATGAGAAAAAAATGTAGGGCGTGATTTTATTCTTAGAGCACAGATTGGATTGTTGAAAGATGGGCATTACTAACATAATAATAATAATAAGGAAGACTGAAAAATGGACGAATTCTGAGAAGAAATAAGACACCCACTAATATGCCTGCCTTAAAGGAAATCCCTTTGACCAGGAATGAAAAACAAGTCGAGATGGAGAGAAGCATATGGTATTTATTTTTATATACTATTTAAAACATTCTACCTGGTCAAAATAAATGGCAACTGGAGAAATTGTGAAAATTATGAAAAAACTATGTATTTTGATATTTTTTGTATATTATTTGTTTATACTACTATGCTACTAATTAATTAAAATCATCTTAATAAAAAAAAGAACAAAATTAATCTAATTATGGTAAAAGTCTGTAATTTTTTAAACATAAATAGGGTGAGTAAAACATAAATATAGGAGCAAATATGTATCTAAATCAAATTACATTTATACAGATCAACTATTCAAAGTACACACACAGCATCCCTCAAATACTAAAAATTAAAAATAGGTCTTTAAGCTGGATTGAATAGCATCCAGAAAGAGAGAAAAACGCTGATGTTCAAAGGTAGACTGTTTCACAGTATTAGGGCAGAGAGAATGCTTGATCAATTTTTGGTTTACAATCACGAAGGACAGATAAAAAAAAAATCTGAATGCAAGATCTTAATGACTTATAGGCTGCGTATGGCCTAATCACACTACATAATCCAAGGAAGAATTATGCAGTGCCTAGTTTGCGGAAAAAAAAAAAGATCTTAACGCTGACTCAAAATTTTTATAGGAAGCTAGTGCAATGTGGCAAGGAGAGGGGAGATATGGTACCTTTTCTTAGTTGCTGTTAACAATAGTTCCTACCAGGCACGTGCACACATAGGGCTCAACTTGTGCAGTGCACATGCCCTTTTTAGTCTTGGATAGAAAGTGCGCTTCCAAAATGATCAAAAGTGCCCCCACGACGCGGCACAGTAGGCGCGCGACAACACCGCTCTTGAGTACGCGTGCGACAACACAGCTTACTCGCGGATAACACCGCTCTTCAGTACGCGCGCATCCACTCTGCAGATCTGCACCAATCCCAATCCCAACCGCCCCCCCGCCCCCCACCCCCCACCCCGCTCTTCCAAAAATTTATCCTGCACATGCCCTTTGGACGGTCTCTGCACGGGCCTGGTTCCTACTTTTTGCACCATCTGTAACTGACACTTGAGGTAGCTTGGGGTAGGAAATGATACAAATAGTTACAGTAATACAGTTGAGAGGAAATTAAAGCATGGATTCCAATGTCCAGATCTTTACTATAAGAAAATTCTTTACTTTTGTCTCTAATATAAGATGAATCTACTACTTTTACATGCTTTCAAAAACAAGATATTATTATTTTTTTTATTGTGAAGGCTAATAAACCACACTTTCAATAGATTCATTAGCATTTAGTAGGTTTCTTTTTCATTCAGTTATTGAAAAAGAAACTTGACTTTCAAGAACTTGACTTTCCAGAGATCTTCTCCTCTCATGACTGATATAATTATGATCATATACGAACACACCCATACAATTATTGCTGATATATTTTTAACATATATGTACATATGTGGCATCACAGTGGTGCAGTGGGTAGTGCGATCACCTCACAGCAAGAAGGTTGCTGGTTCGAGCCCTGACTGAGTCAGTTGACATTTCTGTGTGGAGTTTGCATGTTCTTCTCGTGTTCGCCCGTACTCCAGTTTCCCCCACAATCCAAAGACATGCAATATAGATGAATTGAATAAGCTAAATTGGCTATAGTGCGCATGTGTGTTTGCAAGTATGGATGTTTCCCTGTGTTGGGTTGCGGCTGGAAAAGCATCCACTGTGTAAAACATATGCTGGATAAGTTGGCAGTTCATTCTGCTGTGGCGACCCCTGAATAATAAAGGGACTAAGTAGGAAAGAGAATGATTAAATGAATGTACATATGTAGGGGCGACACAGTGGCTCAGTGGTTAGCACTATTGTCCCACAGCAAGAAGGTCACTGGTTCGAGTCCTGGCTGAATCAGTAGACATTTCTGTGTGGAGTTTGCATGTTCTCCCTGTGCATTCTGCTGTTCCACAGTCTAAAAACATGCAGTACAGGTGTATTAAATTAAATTGGCTGTATTGTGTCTGTGTATGGGTGTTTCCCAGTACTGGGTTGCAGCTGAAAGGGCATTTACTGTGTACAACATGCTGGATAAGTTGGCCGTTCATGTGATGTAAATGATCATTTTGCAATTTGAAAAAATACATATATGCTGCATGTATGTATGTGTGTGTGTTTGAAATCTGACTATGAGTTTTTAAATGGCATATACATGATTTGCATATATTGTCATATTTAATATATCTATGTTTAATGGAAGATATAGTTGGAGGTCATAACCGTTGAAGTTATTTGTGTTTTGTGTGTAATTATTGAGCCTAGAAAAAGACAAGAACAGATCCCTGTGGAACACCATAGTAAAAAAGGCAAGGGGGTTGAAGAAAATAAAACATTTCCAAAAAGTATATGATAATAATAAATTAATACATTTTCTCCTTATGCACACAATAATGTAGGCTATTTGAAACAGCAGTCTTGGCTAGTCAAATACATTCTGCATGCCAGTTCTAATGTCAACCTATTTAAAGATATTTAGGAAACAGGGTTAAAATTCTCACCCTTGAGGATGTGAGGTTAAGATCCCCCCAAATGACAAATCCTGCAGCTCCCAAAGCAGCGCTTTCTCCTATTGTATGAATCAAGTCCTTCTGTAAAATCAAAATTTTGTATATAATGTCATTAAAATGTGTTTTTACAGACCGTTTATTTGAATGGAAATGGATTTATTTTATTATTTACAAGTCATTGTGATAGTGACACACTTTTTAGCAACAACTCTTTAATGTTGTCTATGTACTCTATTAGACCACAAGAGGGAGCTATTGATTTTAGACTCAGATCAGTTTATGCATACAGAGTGTGGTGTAGAATGGGCTACATGCACAGCTAGTGTTTTTCAGCTTATAATGAGCTTCCAGTGAAAGGTTTATGTGAATAATTTCAATTTCATAAGGTTCATTTTACAGCATTGATGTTGTAATATAATTCAAATATAATCAGTTAAATAGACTTAAGCATCCATTTGGTTGTTAAAGTGTAAAAAGAGACAAAAGCCATCATTAGCAGCAGGCTTGCGTAAAAACTCCACTGAAAATACAGGGGTAAATTAATTTCCATATTTGAAGACATGGCATGGAAAAATAAAATTTAATGCAGTGCTTCTTGTTTGGTATGATACACACTTTATATCATATCTCAGCCAGGCAGTGAAGATCATTGTTTTTGAAAGAAATCACATTTTAAAACACATCGATTTTGTATGGGATGACAATTCACCGTAATCCCTGGGGCTGACTGACTGAAATTAAAAGTCAGTGTGCAAATACCCCCTCAATGTTACTGTAGCTGTTTGTGCAATTATGCTATGTATATATATATATAACAACCAGAAAGTTGAGAATAACATAAAATCATATTAACTTGAGGATGTACAGTATATTAGTATATGTTTTTGCATATATTTTAAGTAAGTGTATATATATATATATATATATATATATATATATATATATTTAAATATATTGAACGGATTTACTTACTTGTGTCAGGAAGGCCATTGCTTCATCTCTATACCCCAGCCGCGTGTACACATACGTAGGCAGCTCATAGGGAAGTGAGGTAAGTGAGGCCAGTCGCAATGACTCTAGTACCCTGTTCTGCGAGAAGTGCAGGTTGCGAATGCTGTCTGTGTGGCCCTTACGTATAGCGAGCGCCGGGAAAAGGGCAGTGCTGCTGTTCCACAACCAAAACAGCTGGTCATTACGTTCGCTCTCCCGTTGAGGGCATGTGCCACTGTAGTTGAGTTCATGTATGTTATAATTGTGACAGTCAGGGTAGAGATAAAAACCCCAAAGTCCATGTGGGCGAGTTTGTGTACCGAGCTGCAGCGTGCTCTGCATGTACTCCATGGCACTTTTCTCAAAGCGCAAGCGTGCCAGCTCCTCCACCTGTTCCTCTGTCACATTAAGGTAGGCCTGTGCAATCAGTTCACGTGAATTTTTCCGGTAAATGTCTTTTTTGTGCCAGTTACGATCCCACTGTGGCCGCCAAAACTCCCAGTCGATCACAGCCAGGCCACGGAAATCTTCCGAAGGAATGAAGTGCGCTATGTCTTTTCGGGCTTTGCGAAGATGTGCTTCAAGACTGGTGTTCTGAGGTAGGCCTCCGTTGATTGGAACCCCTTGCTCATTGTAGAAAGGGTAGTAGCCCAGACGATTAGCATAAAAGATGGTGACATTCTGGCCCGTGTGGACGGCTCGTGGACTGCCGCTGATGTGGAAAATATCAAGGCTGACGTTAATATTGTACTTCAATGTACACATATCCAGTGGAGCATTCCAGGCAGCCAGGAAAGGCTTGCGGCCCACCAGAGGCAACTTTGCAGGTTTCTGGCAAAGGACAGAATGGACCAGGATCAACAGCCAGGAACAGATGATGGCACAGGCTACAGGCACAGTGTGGTGTTGCAAGGCCCCGCAGGGCACACCAGGCATTCTGCTGTGTGACTCAGCACAGGCAACTGTCAATCATCCTGTAAAAAGACAAAAAACAACAACAACACAATAAACAACTGTTTGTGGTAGGTACAGTGGCTATCCAATAGCGTGCATATTTAAAATCAGCTGATGAATTTTTGCCTGAGGCATCATGACGCACTGTTTTCACTACTACAAGCCATTCAGTTAAGCAATTGTCAATATGAAATCTCATATGCAACCATCCCATTTCTGCATCATTCCTGTGACATATTTCAGAAACAAAATAAGTATGAACTTGACTTTTTTAAATTCGAAATTAATTAGATTAGGCCAAGTAAAGCTGCGGTCACATTAAAGTTTGAGCATGCAATATTTTTTCATGCTGCCCTGCAAAAAGGGGCGGGATTAAACAAGCTTATTAGACATTTAGAAAAGCGAGCGATTGCTCCATGTTTTAAATTTCTGTCAAGAGATGTCATGTTTTGATCCTCGATTCATCCTTGAACTTTGCACCGCAGCAACCTGCGAAACTTGACGCATGACCTTGCGTTTCTGGTCTGATGCATTCGCGTGCGTATGAATGAAAGTCTATAGGGAGATAAGCCCAGTGTGACTGCAGCTTTAACGTTGAAGACTAATTGACTGATTTATTGATTGATAGATTTTTCTTATTATACTTATCAAACTCACATTTAGGTTTACATTTCCAAATCCAGTCAATTCCCCATTGAAAAAGAAATCCCTTCCCAGCTGCAACCCAGCACTGGGAAACACCCATAATCTCTTGCATTCACACCCACACATACACTGTGCCCACTTTAGTTGATTCAATTCACCTATGGCGCATGTCGTTGGGCTGTGGGGAAAACCAGAGCACCCACACAAACCCACACAAACACAGGAAATTCTTACTGAACCAACTGGGACTCGAACCAGCAAACTTCATGCTGTGAGGCCATAGCACTACCCACTGCGCCAAGTGTTCCCTTTAATTTCACCCAACTATATTTCACCCTACTTTAAGTTGAAACAACCCTGCATTTATTTTAAGCCTGACATCGTAAATAAATATGACCACAACCAGTAGGTGGCAGTAAGTCCCTCTCTTAATGAGTAACTTATTGACTCATGCATTCATACAATTATATGTATTCTAAAACTGTAGATTAATTAATTCTCAAATCTTTGTTTACTATTCCCTACAATTCCACTTGATGACATATGCTAACATAATTCACATAAGACATATGCAAACAATGTCTAATGTAGAAAAACTCATTCAGGACCTCATGACCTCACGAATAAATTGTTGTAATGCATTACTTGGTGGTTGCAACTTCAGCTGGATTAAAATATTTCAGTAGTATCTGGAAGCAGCCTTTATGATGCAAGCCGAGATTGCATCTCTCAGTGATTGATTGATTTTTCTTATTATACTTATCAAACTCACATTTAGGTTTACATTTCCTAATCCAGTCAATTCCCCGTTGAAAAAGAAATTAATTAACTCAGCGATTGATTCATTCATTAATTAAAGTTAAAAAATAAATAAAATAAATAAAATAATTAATTATTCATATTCAAACAATGCCAAAAAATGATATAATAATAAATTAATACATATAATAAAGATGGTTTTTATTATTATTTTTTCATTCATGAGTTTACTTATTATTCTGTAGTTTATTTGGATAATAATAACTCTGCAATGTTTTCCTGAATAGGTTTTGGTGCTGGCATGCTCTAAAACAGGTGTATTTAAATTCAGAGGCCAAGAGGGCTACATTTAAACCATGCAAAATGCGAAAGGCCACAAATTACAATTTGCATAATAAGACTTTATTTAAGAAAATTTCAGCGGTTTTACTGATTTTAAAATGCTGTTCATTGCTAAGGCTGGCCTGGCATGTCTTTAAAAAATCATACTGAAAATGATAATAAAAGAGTGGATTAACACCTTGACAAAATGCATTTATTCTCAGATATGTTGAGCACCATTAAATATAGACCAGTGTTATATTTCAATATTTCATAATTCCTTAGGCCTATATCATTCATTCATTTTCTTTCCGGCTTAGTCCCTTTATTAATCGGGGGTCGCCACTGCAGAATGAACCGCTAACTTGTCTAGCATATGTTTTACGCAGCGCATGCCCTTCCAGCTGCAACTCATCTCTGGAAAACACCAATACACACTCATTTTCTACAGACAATTTAGCTTAACCAATTCACCTGTACCACATGTCTTTGGACTGTGGGGGAAACTGGAGCACCCAGAGGAAACCCACTCAAACGCAGGAAGAACATGCAAACTCCACACAGAAACGCCAACTGACCTAGCCGAGGCTCAAACCAGCTATCTTCTTGCTGTGAGGCGACAGCACTACTTACTGCGTTGCCTCTTTAGCCCTACAAGATTAAACTTTTTTTTTCTTTATTTTGTACATTTAATCAGGGTATATAAAAAGGTATCATTGTTGTTGTTATTACTACTGCTACTACAAGTAGTTGTTGTACTAGTAGCAGTGATGGTATAGTAGTAGCATTAACTAGTTGGTCATTCTTACTGCTCAACATGACACAGCAATTTACCTATGCACAGACAAATCCTCTCATCACGACAACAACAACAAAAACATAATTAGTACACAATGTTAGTAAAAGATTCACTGTGGAAATCAGTCAGCTTTCATTACTGTAGAGGCAGTGCACAATCTGTAAACTCATGATGTGATGACAGTGTTCTTCATTGTTATTGGAACACTTTTTTTTCCTTTACAATTTTAATATGTTTATTTGTCATGCTGCTAAAAGGACCATCTGCCATTTACACAATGCAAAGTGTAGTCTTTCACACTCTGGGTGAGATGCTGCATCTTGCTATATCTTTTAAATGCTGTAAATTGTTTTCAAAGTATAGCCTGAGCACACTGTCACTGCTAAGCAAACATCAGCTGCATTTTTTATTTCTTGCTGGGGACAGACCCCAGCAAGAAATAAAAAATGCAGCTGATGTTTGCTTAGCAATGACAAATTACCACAAGAGCACAAAAAGGTGACAAAATTAATCCAGATTGGGCTGTCTGTAAATTACCTCGTCCTGCTCTAAAATGTGCTGGGTTTTCTCAACTCCCAAATAGTTAAACAATTGACAAATCCAACAGTTTGATAATTGTTTAAATAAATATACATTCATTAATTTATTCAATTTTGTTTTGGTTTAGTCCCTTTATTAATCAGGGTCAACCGCAGCAGAATGAACCACCAACTTATCCAGCATATGTTTTAAGCAGCAGATCCCCTTCCAGCTGCAACCCAGCACTGGGAAACACCCATAATCTCTTGCATTCACACCCACACATACACTGTGGCCACTGTGCACTGATTCAATTCACCTATGGCGCATGTCATTGGGCTGTGGGGAAAAACAGAGCACCCACACAAACAAACAAACAAACCCACACAAACACAGGAAATTCTTACTGACCCAGCCGGGACTCAAACCAGCAACCTTCTTGCTGTGAGGCCATAGCACTACCCACCACCACGTGTTCCCTTTAATTTCACCCAACTATATTTCACCCTATACTTTTCAGTAGTATCTGGAAGCAGCCTTTATGATGCAAGCCGAGATTGCATCTCTCAGCAATGCAATGTCACACAATGCACTCAATGACATCACTGTGAGGGGTATGGTTAGGGTTGGGTTTAGGTGAGTCCATTAAAGTGCATTGCATGCAGCTCAGATTATGTCTGCTCCAGGTCTGTATCCAGACCCCTTTCCAAATTGCTGCAGCCAGAGCACTGACTACCCACATAGTAAAATTTCTCTAGCCCAGATTTGGCCCACACATTCAGCTTTTGTTGGCACACATGCCGTAGTGAATTACGGTACATGATTGGACCAAGTTTGGCTTCCATACAAGGGCCAAACAAGGACCATATCTGGGCCAAGTTTCAGCAAAGTTAATAAACCATAAATGGATCTGAATTGGGCCAGATATGTTAGTGTGTCACCCTTGCAATGAATTTGTTAAACCCATGAAGCATTTTACCCAATGACTGTAAAAAATATGGACGACGCGACAGCCCTTTTTCCCATTGAACGCCTTGAGGGCAAAACGCCTGCTTGACGGGCACAAACTGTCGCAAAAGACTGCTGAAATTGGAGCCAGACATGCGCAGAAGGATTGTCTGATGGAGCCAGAGGAGGAGCCGCGAAAATGAGCAGAGTCGAGCTTCCAATCAAACGCTTTATGTAAAATCAACTACGCCCCCCGAACTTCTCAGCATGCGTTTGCTGTCATATCAACACAAATGGATGTAATAACGTTAACAAATATGAGGGTTTTATATATTCAATCGCGCCAGCTCCAGGCCGCAGCGCATAACTTACTCGCGGCGTCGCGGGCTGATTCCGGCTCGCATGCGGCAGCGCCTGCTCGCTCGGCCGCCGCATCTGGCTCGATTGACTCGGACTGGAATCGGGCAGTGAGTCCAGGCATCCGGAGTAGGTCCAGCAGAGGTAACATTAGTCAGTCTGAGCTCTAAGAGATAAGTCTCCGGCAGGCGAGAATCTAGCCGGAACTGTGTTTTGCTATCTGGGTGGCGAGGCGTGTATCAGCAAACTAATAAAGCCCGAAAAAAGCCCTGAACTTAGCGAATAAACTGTGTTCCACCAGGATCATGTATGTCAGAAACTATAGTTTACTGCTGAACTCATATTGTCATGGTAAAATAACACAGAAATCGAATAATAACATTTCAGTCTACTTCAGTCTCCTGCCGAAGCTCAGACGCCGCGCTTTGAGAAACTGTCAATCACAGCTGTCAATCACGATGACACGCCCAGCATTAAATTACTGCTAAAAACAAACTGTTTACAAAAATGAAGATCTGCACCTATTTCAGCACAATAACCAGTGCCTTAATCGACCAGAACTATCTTTCGGGACATTTTATTGCAAGTGTAATATTTTTTTTTATTTGGGCTCAAGTCTCCTTCATTAACACGGAGGAGGCGGGCTTTATGACTTGTACTGCAGCCAGCCCC